ATGTATCTTTTCCCTTTGCTGATTCTTCTTTGTAAAAATCTTAGCCATGAGTGGAACTGTATGCTGAGTCCTATGAGCCTTCCTAGCGAATCACTGAACTTGGGGTGATCTTGAGGACCCTAATGCACTCCCTTATTTGAAACTCTTCTTTGGCTTCCCACTGATCTTAAAAATAAAGACCCAGGGAATCCCCTGGTGGTCTAGTGGTTAGGACTCCACGCTTTCACTGCCAAGGGCCTGGGCTCAATCCCCGGTCAAGGAACTAAGATCTCACAAGCGGTGCGGTGCGGCTGGGAAAAAAAAAAAGACCCAAGCGCCTTCCAGAGACCTATAGCCATTCTGCACTCTGTGGCCTCTGCCTGCCTATCTAACCACACCTGTCACCAGTCTCTCTGCTCTGGCCACATGGTCTCCATTCAGCCCTTTGTACTCAGTAGGTTCCTTCGACCACAAGGCCTTTGCACACGTGATTTCCTCTGCCTAGAACGCCCACTCCTCTTCCACCTTGTCATTTTTCTTTTCCTCCTTCAGGAGGTCTCCCTCAAGCATCTCAGCTCCAGGAAGCTGACCATGTACCTCCCCTGTTGCATTCATGCATGGCCCACATGCCTCCCCAATGAAGATGGATCCACCTGTTTGTGTAACAGAGTCTGTTTCCTCCCCCACTCCCCATTAGGGGACTGGGTAGGTGGGTTTCTGCTCATGCCATATCTTCCGTATTCTTCATGCCTGGAAGACCACAGGTTCCCTCCCACTAAACATACCTGGAGGGTGGAATGAATCCCTTGAGCAAATATCTCCTCTTGGGGGACTCATGTACCCCAGAGGCTCACGTACTCTACCGCCACCTCCCCCTACCCTGTCCCCAGGGATTTATGTTCTGAGGAATGCCTATTTTTAAAATCAGGGAAGTCTTTAAATAAGCATAGCAGCTTTTCCTTCTCTAGGGTGGGGAGGAAGTTTGAGGTTTCACGAAAATAACCACCGTGACGGCTGACTAGTTTGGGCGGGGGGTGGTGCTGCTGGTAGACTGAGAAGCCTGACTGGTGGCCCAGGTGCCCCAGAGACGCATTCTCCAACTTTTCTCTCCATTTCCTGTAGGGTCAGAATCCCTCCTGACTTGATGGAAGAGTCTGTTGACCTGGCAAGTTGATCAGGAGGCTGGGTGGAGACGATGTGGGAAATAATATTTAAGGTAGCGGAAACTGTAGCGATTGTAACTATCCCCAGAGCAACTGCCATTTTCTGAGCTCTGTGCAAAAGCCCTTTGTAACATACAGCAACAACTTGACAAGGTGGGGACTGAATCCTCTTCATTTACAGGTGAGGAAATTGAAAACAGAGAGGCCAAGCAACTTGCCCCAGCTCACACAGCCAGTGAGAAGCAGAGCTCAGACTCTGACCCAGGCTGCCTGGCCCAGAGCCCTCTCCCTCCTGCACGACCTCTCTGAATGCTGCCCTGGACCCAGCTCACAGCTGGTGAAGGCCAATGCTGGGCGGGGAGTTCAGCCCAGTGTTACTCAGTAAGAAACACATTTTATATCCTGCCACTTAGTACACATTGACATATATACGTTCTATAACCAACACTAAAGTTAACATGTGAGAGACTTATGTTTTCCACTTTATTCTATTTCTTAAAAGGCTGATGGCAGCCCATTAATGGATTTCAGGAATCACTAATGGGTTGAGTTTGAAAAACACGGGTATGGTGGGATGTACTCTATTTCCCTGGGGGAGGGAGAGGATGATTGTCAGAGAGGTGGCAGTCTTGCCCAAAGTCTGTGAATCAGCCATGTTAACTGGGAAGCATAAGTCAGGCTGCTATTTGTGTTAACAAAAGCATAGAAAGAAATGAAAGCATAGAAAGAATAATATAGTTACCCAGCTAGAAATTAGGACCTATCACCAGTACAACTGAGTCATCTGGGCCACCCCATCCCCCAACATCTTAGTGATGCTTCAGCCATGGAAAAGATGGGATAAACAAGAATTCAGGGCTCCCCTCTTTCCTGCCCCACTGTGGCTCGGTCCTTGGAAGGAGGCCAGTGCAGCTGCAGTTTAACCAATGGCTCTCAGCTCTGGCTGCACACTGGAACCACCTGGATGCTTTAAAAAAAAAAAACCCAGTGCCTGGGTCACAGGCCCCAAGATTGTGATTCAGTTGGTCTGGGGGTGGCCTGGGTGTTGGGATCTCCAATGTACAGCCAAGGTCAAGAACCAGCACCGTAAATGAACCTGGTGCCTGTCCAAACACCTTGTGAGAAGTGTGCCAAAGGGCCACAAGGATTTCTAAGCACACCTGGCAACCAGGTTCTCCAGATGTGGCTGGTGACATGCAATCATCTGAGCTGAGGACTAGGTCAGCTGATGGGCTGAAAACCGTTTCACTTTATCCTCATGATGGCGTCAATAGCTCCTGTGTTTCAAGCGTTTGTTATAGCCCGGCACCCTGCTAAATGCTTTCCAGTCACTATCTTGTTTAATCCTCACTGTTCTCATTTTACAAAAGAGGAAAACGGAGGCTCAGAGAGGTGGGAAGGGGCAGGGAGGGCCCTGCTGGGGGCCCCTCTGGGCAGCTCTCCTGCTGAGGGCCCCTCTGGGCAGAGCTGGCTACAGCAAATCAGGTCTGAGCCATGGCTAAAAACCCCACCAGTTTCTTCCATGACAGAGCTGTTTTCCTCTCCAAAATCAGAGCTGGACAATTAAAAATCTCCTAAAAGCAATCCTATTAAAATAGTTTTTTAAAAACATAATTAACTTTACAAGGTAAATTATTAAAAGGAACTTGTTCTTTGAATCAGTAAGAGGCTTATTTGCTACACGTGGCCCTGGTCCAATTTCCCCAGCTCCCCAGCAATGCCGCTGGGGCCACCCCTTCTTTTGGCCTCTGTTCGATGACAGACAGGCTCCCGCCCCCAGGAGTCCCCCGAGGTGTGTCCTTGGCTCTGCATTCCAACACTCTGCTTGCCCTGATGTTTTTGTGTCCTCACCCCCACCCTTGCGACTTGTCCGTGCAGCCAGACCCCCTGACGTACCGGAATCCCCAGCTTTACCTGCTGTCATTCACCCCAATGAGCAGATCTTTACTCCAGATCTATTTCTTTCAGTATTACTATTGTCAAAACATGAGCAAAAAGAAATAATAACCCCAACACACCAAATTTATCATCTACTTATCCACCCATCTCACTCTAATCTATGTCTTTTACAATTATAATCGAAGACTGCAGACAACTTTGTATCTTATTTTCTCCCCACTACCTATATGCGTCAGACTTATGCCTTTTTAATGGCCAAGAAATTTACCAAGAAGTCAGTGCTCATTATTGCATTTTCTGTTCATTTTTAGCACCTCTATCACCAATTCTAAGACCACATTTTCTCACATATTAACATTTCTGAAGTCTGTCTTACAATTGACCAGTGTCAGTGTTGTGTTACATTAGATCACAGTAAATGGCGTCACTTTTTCTTCTTCGTAGCACATAATATAATGGTGCGTCTACAATCAATGGCATCTTACATGCTAAGAAACACATAAATTTGTGTTTCTAAATTGTGCTGTAAATTATACTTTTTCCTTTTTATGGGTCGTTTCCTTTCCCGCAAGTAAGATGACCAGGTTTGATTATGACTATTTTCATGACTCTTGATACACCCTGTCAAGTTATTTTCCAGCAGTCGTGTGGGTTGATCCACTTGTGAGATGCAGGAGTGAGCCGGTTACACCACAGCATAACCACCATCGAGCGTGCATTTCCGCTTGTTTTTTTGGTTTGCCTAGTAGGGAGCTATAAATGAAGGAAACTGTTCCATTTGCCTTTCTGTGAGTATTAATGATAACTGGAACTCACGGAGCTCCTGTTATTGGGTGGCAGGCACTAAGCTTCCCATATCTTATCAGGAATTGACACAACTCTACAGAGGGCGATTGTCATCCCTCTGCTGGAAATGCCACCATATTTCATTAATGCAAAGTTGAACGTTTTCCCACATTTCTGAAATCAGAATTGGTGGCATGTTGTAAATGCCATTGGTCACTTCCTCCTCCCACATTGTAAACAGCTTTAAATCAGAAATACTCTTACAGTTAAAGGGGCCATCAGTTTGACGAAATGCAAGATCCCCACCACCACCACCACCACCACCACCATCATCATCATCATCATCATCATCATCATCATCATCATCATCATCATCATCATCATCATCATCATCCCATGGTCCTCTGACCCTCACACTTGCTTCTCCAACTCTGCCCCATCACTCTGCTGCTACCCTGAGCTTCTGGCACTGCCCTGACAACTCTACCTGGCCAGGCCCCCAGAAGCTCCAAGTGAACAGCTGAAATGGAAGCCAACACTTCCTCTTCACCTTGCCCCACCCTTCACAACTAATGTCTCCCCAGATCCAACAAGCCTGCACCCCAGATATCAAGGACAGAATTTATTAGACCTACTCAGGTTGGCCACACAGCACAGGAGGCAGAGCATTCGCTTTGGAGTCAGGCTAGGTTGAAATCTCATTTCTGCCACTTCCTACCTGTGTGATCTTGAGCAAGTAGCTTTACTTCTCTGTGCCCAAGTGTCTCTACCTGTAAAATAAGCAGTTGGGAGAAGCACTTATGGGCTCAGTATTGGCCTAGCATTCTGAGACCATTGTCTCCTCAACTCCTCCCTGTGAGCCTTCAGGAACGGGGGTGGTTAATTAACTTTTCCCCATTTTCCAGATAAGGAAACTGAGGCTCGGGGAGGTGAAGGGCATGACCAAATGATACAGGGCTATTAAAATGCAGAGCTGGGTTTTGAATGTTTCCGATTATCAGGCTATCTTGAGGTTCCTTCTATAGCTTTCACCTCGGTGACTTTTAACACTTTGGTATGGTGGAAGCACCCTGAACATGTGTTTTTCCTCTATCTTGTTAGAAACACCAAACAGAATTATCTTCTCAAGCTGGGAGGTCCCTTAACGCTGCTAGTCTTCCAGAATTAATTTACCTTTTCATCCCAGGTGGCCATTTTCCTGTCGTCTCCAGATCTGGAAAATAAGAAAACATTTGTCTAGATCTATCATCCTACTATCATTCGCCGTAGTATGTGTTTTCCAACACTTTCTTACAAATTATTTTTAACTTGCTTAGGTTAACAGTGTCCGAAAATAGTAAATAATAAAGCTCAAAGCATGTGGAGAAGGATGTACATCCTGAGTATATACCCAAAAGAACTGAAAACAGGCACTCAAACAAATACATGTACACGAATATTCATAGCCAAAGATGGAAACAATCCATGTCCATTAACATATGAATGGATAAATAAAAGATGTTATATCCATACAATGGAATGTTATCCAGCCATAAAAAGAAATGAAGTACTTTTGCAATATATACAAATATCGAATCACTATGTTGTACACCTGAAACTATTGTAGGTCAATTATACCTCAATAAATAATAAAAGAGATATGAAGTGCTGACACATGCTACAACATGAATGAACCTCTACAACATTATGCTAAGTGAAAGAAGCCAGACACAAAATGTCACATAGTACTTGGTTCCACTGATGTATAATATCCAGAATATGCAAATCTGTACAGACAGAAAGCAGACTGGTGGTGGCCAGGAGCTATGGGGAGAGGGGAATGAGGAGTGACTGCCTAATGGGGACAGAGTCGCCTTTTGAGGTGACGAAAGTGTTCTGGAACTAGATAGAGGTGGTAGTTGCACCACATCGGGAATGTATTATATGACAATGAATTGCTCACTTTAAAAGTTAATTTAAAAAAATTTAATTTTATGTTATGTGAATTTCACTCCAATTAAGAACCAGACAGACATATGTTAGTGTTGAGATTGCTCTGGAAAGCAGCAAAGAATCTAAATGTCCACCAACAAGGGAGGGTCTGGTTGAGTCAGTTACAGTACATCTGGGAGTGGGAGACTCCAGTGCTGTTACATTTCCATATGTGGATGAGGAAAGATGTAATATAACAGGTGCCCCCCCATCACATTATAGCATAGTGTGTACAGTATGATCCCATCTATGTGAAAAAATGATATATGCATTTTTTTAAAAGTCTGTAAGGATATAGCCAGACTCTTTACAGTGGTTATTGCTGAAGAAAATGGGAGTGATTTGAGGATGGGGTGGGTATTTTCTTTCTCTTGGCTTCTGGAAGGTCTGAACTTTTACAATGATTATGTGTTACTTCTTAAAACTTATTTTTAACATAGGTGACATATGTAGTAAAAAATTTAAATACAAAAAGATACTACGACAAATAAGTCTTCTTTCTACTCCTGTTCTTCCCAGAAAGCCTCTCCTACCAGTTTCCCACACAGCCTTTGGAGGTATTCTATGTCTTTCCAAGCACAGCCATACTTATTCTTTTTTTTCCCCTTAAACAAATGTGAGCCCTCACACTGCTCTGAACCTTGCTTATTTCCCTTTAGGGTGTGGGAGGCTGAAAGATAGCCCCATCAGTCCTAATCCCCAGAACCTGTGAATAGGTCAATGTACACGGCAAAAGGGACTTCCCAGGTGTGATGAAATTAAGGACTCCAAGATGCGGGGATTATCCAGGTGGGCCCAGTGTAATCAGAAGGGTCTTTACAAGTACAGCAAGAGAATCAGAAGAACAGGAGACATGATTACAGAAGCAGGGATTGGAGTTAGAGTGAGATCTGAAGATGTTATGCTGTCTTGAAGATGGAGGGATGGGGTCATGATCCAAAAAATAAGGGAAGACTCTAGAAGCTGGTGAAGGCAAGGAAACAGATTCTCCCCTAGAGCCTCCAGAAGCAATATAGCCCTGCCAGCACCTTGATCTTGGCGTACCAAGACTGATTTGGGGCGTGTGACCCCTAGAACTGTTAGATAATAAATTTATGTTGTTTTAAGCCATCAGATGTGTGGTCATTTGTTACAGCAGCCACAGGAGACTAACACAGTGTCCCAGAGACCGTTCTACACCGTGTGCTCTAGAGCAAGTGCACTCTTTGGATGACCACACAGGATTCCCCTGAGGGGGTGTGTGTAGTTCCCATTAGTGACCAACGTTAGCTTCCCAAAGTTCCAGTGAATGACCTTATGCATCATGTGTTATTTTTGTAATTAAAAAAATACTACCATTTTGAAAAAAAATCACGAAGACCTAAAGAAAAAAAGAGTTCTTTTTCTCCCCACGGTACCATGCTTAGGGCACAAGGGACTCAGTTTCTTGCTGGTTGACTGGTAGAGCAGCTTCTGCACCCAGCAGAGTTCACCTGGCTGTGTTCCTGTTCCAGCCCCTGGGGGCCCTCACCCTGCTCTCACGAGGTGGGCTCAAGTGGAACCACCACCAAAAGTGAAGGTGAAGGGAAAAATTAAGGTGCCCTGGAGATTTCCTTCCTCCATAGGACAGGAAACGGAACTAGCGCATGCATAGAAAAACACCCAGATTCACTAATTTAAGCAATGGAAAATTTAAACCTGCCCTAACCTCCCCATTAAACTAGACAAAACAAAAAATGAAAAAACCCAATGCTTGCGGGGCTGTAGGAAAACTTGCACACGTTGCTGGGGATAATTTTTCTAAACAGTCACCTGGTAATAAGTGGTATATGCCTTCAGGATGATCATACCCTTGACTTGAACACATCAGTTTGGAAACTGTAACTCAAAAATCATCTGAAAGCAAAAAAAAAAAAAAAAAAAAAAAAGGTGCAATTTGTACCACAGTGTTTAAAGCAAAGTTGGATATTAGGGTTAGAACCTGGAAACAGCCTATAAGCCCCACTGTAGGGAAAAGCTGAGGAAGGCAGTGGGAGGAATGACAATTCTGAGGTTTATGTAGAAATGTAGAAAGAAGGCTATTAAGCAATGAGAAGTAGAACTCTGATGGTTGCACACACTGCTTGCAGAACTTTTATCAGTTATCAGAACTTTTACTCTGTGCAAGGGCATGGCACTGGGTTCTGGCGAATCCAAAGTGAAGAGACAAGAAAAAGGTCTGGGCCCTGGTAGGCTGACATTTTAGCCAGGAAACACATAAGCAAGGTAACATCACTCAGGGCTAAGCTCCGGAAAGAAAAACAGTAATGCAATAAAGGGCAGGCAAGAGTGGCTCCTGCGGCTTGGGGTGGTGAGGTAAGGCTTCTGAGTAGATGACTTTTATGGTCGTCTCTGAATTGCAAGGAGGTGCATCACAAGAAGATGGCAAGGAAGAGAATTCCTGGGAGAAGGAAGGGCATGTGCACAGACCCTGAGAGAGCAGAGAATTTAGTATGTCCAAGAAAGAAGGAGGAGGCCAGTATGGCTGCAGTGAGCAGGCAGTGGAGTAAGGATGGGGGCATGAGAAGAGTCAGGAATCAATCAGGGCCTGACTGTGCAGAGAGTTCAGTAGACAGTGCTGAGGATCTGGGGGTCACGGTGGGGATGCAGAGGAGTGACCAGATTCAGAATATGCTGAGAAGTAGCACTTGCTGCTGGCCTAGATGTCGGGGACAAAGACAGGAGCAGGTTTTGGAGCAAGAATATGCTAGGCTTCCTCCTTCTTGCAAAACTGGTGGTGGGGGAGGGCTTGGGGGCTACAGGGCAGTCCTGGAATTGTGCAAGCCTCACCCCAAAGATTTTCAAAACCCGCCCCTACCAGCCTTTCCCTCGGAGTCAGAGAGGGAGGAGTTGCAGCCCCCAGCCTTGGTCTTACTCAAGAAACTCCCAGCTGCTGGCGGGGCTGTAGGAAATACTGCAGATCTCAGATAGCTCTGACTTGAGGGTGAAGGACAGAGAAGTGCTTTCAGATGAGTGGGGATGGTGGAGGGGGCACGGCTTGAGTCACGCACTAGGCTAGGCCTTCACATCAACCATCTCATTTAATCTTCTCGGCAATCCTCTGAGGCACGAAGCATGCTTAACCCCGAGGTTACGGATAAGCAAAGGAAACAGACAAGGAAATTGAGGCACGGAGAACTGAAGTCCCATGGCTAAGCCTGCAAGAGCCCCCCTGTGCCCAGCGGGAGTGCTGGTACAGGCCCGGGAGTTCCTGGACAGGGGCTGCACCGCCCTCTCCTCTCTGTCCTGGAGTTTAACCTGGCCCCAACCCACTGTTCTTACTCCTTGGCATCCCCTACCCAGGCGAAGGATTTGTTGCTGTGGAGGTTCTTCCTGCAGGGATGAGCAGGCTGGCTCATCTCGGCCTCCTCCCCTATTCCCAGCACTGGTTTCTCCCTGCCGTCTCCCTAGGGGTGCAGGACAGGGCGGGGCAGGCATGATGAGTAAGAGGACTTAGGGGTTCACACCGACCTGGGTGAGTTCTGGCTCTGCCTCTTTTGGCTGTGTGACCCCTGGCGAGTGGCTTGGCCTCTTTGAGTCTTGGTGTCTTCACCTGGAAGAGGGAGACAAGGATGGTACCTACCTCACCTGTTGCTGCTGCTGCTACGAGGCACGTGATGAAGTGAAGGCACCTGGCCCATGTAAGCACTCCATACAAAAGGGTAGTTCTTCAACACTTCCGTTTTCAAGGGGAGATGCGCGTGCTGTCTCCTGTCCTCCTCTCCACTGGATTCTAGAATCCGTGGGCCAGGCAGGGATCCCTGAGTTATCACTGCCTGCCCGCGTTCCCCCAAGCTGGGAAACGCTAGAACCCACGGCAAACCGGGGCCTCCTGGGATCCCGCGGGGGTCCCTGGCAGACTCGGGCTGGGAGAGCTCGGAGAAGGGAAGCGCGCCCCGGGCCGGCCCTGGAGCACTTACCCTGCGCCCGGCCCGCCGGCGGCCACCGCAGCAACTGCGAGCTCGGCGCCTGCCCAGCCGTCCCGCCCGCCCCACCCGCCCCCGCCCCCGCCCCCGCCCCCGCCCCTTCCTCCCGCCCCCGCCCTCTAAACTCAGTCAGCTGCTGGTCTCCGGCTCTGGCCCGCGTCTGTCCCGTTGCCTTCGTTCTTGCCTATCTGTCGGTCTCCCGGTTGTTCTCTGGCTTCCCCCAACCCGGCCCCCTCGCTCCGCAGGCCCGAGCCTGACCTGGGCCTCCTGCAATCCCGCAGATGGACAAAGGTCCCGCCCGTGGGAGCCAATCACGAATCATGAGAATCCTAGCCCAGGCGACCCTAAGGGAAGGGGTGGGAGGAGGGAACCACTTCCTTCCTCCAACGGGATGTATTGGCAGCGGGTCCACCCGCCTCCCCACCACACACACTCAGGGAAGCAGGGCTGGCTCCTGTTCGCCCCCCCTACCCCCTGCCAACTCCTGGTTACTTAAGGGGGGCCTGAGTGTCCCCTGCACGGTATCTGCAGGCAGGGGTTGGAGGGTGGGCAGAATGCCCTAAGGGGGTGGCCAACCTCGAAGCTGTCAGGACGCCCCTGGGTTGGGGAGGGGGGAGGTGAGGCTGGAGGTGAAGAGGAGGTGCCCTGCAGCTGGGCTGGTATTGGCACGAGGGAGGAGCCTTCCAGCCTCGAGGCAGAGCACACCCTTGCTCAGGCCGACTAGGGCTCCCCTTCCCCAGCTTTACCGTCCCTCCCCTGCAGGCCCTCCCTCACCCAGGCTTCTCCAGCGCTCTGTCCATACCTTATTTCTGTTACTGTTCGCTCTGGTCTCAGTTCTTCCGTTAGCTTCCATCTTCCCCAAAATACCACTTGTCCCAAACTTCCAAGGGCAGAAGCCATCCATCTTCTACACACCTCCCTGTTTCTTCTGGTTAGGCTGGCGGGCGGGGGCGGGGCGGAGGGGGAGCCATACTAGTTTTCTGTGGCTGCTGTACCAAGTTACCACAAACCTAGTCGCCTAACACAGCACAAAAATAACACTTAAAACAACAAAGCACTGGAGGTCAGAAGTCCGGGGGGGGGTCTCAAAGGGCTAAAATCAAGGTGTTGGCTTGGCTGTGTCCCTTCTGGAGACCCGAGGGGGGAATCCATTCCTTGCCTTTTCCAGCTTCGAGAGGTTGTTTGCATCCCTTGGCTCCTGGCTAATCATTCTGACCTCTGCTTTCATCGTTAAGTCTCCTTCTCTAGATCTGACCCGTTTCCCTCCCTCTTTTATATGATTTTTTAAAAAATTTATTTATTATTTACATGTGGTTGCTTGTTGCTGTGCGTGGGCTTTCTCTAGTTGCGGTGAGCGGGAGTCACTCTTCATTGCGGTGTGCGGGCCTCTCATTGCGGTGGCTTCTCTTGTTGTGGATCAAGGGCTCTAGGTGCATGGGCTTCAGTAGTGTGGCACACGGGCTCAGCAGCTGTAGCTCGTGGACTCTAGAGTGCAGGCTCAGTAGTTGTGGCGCATGGGCTTAGTTGCTCTGCAGCATGTGGGAACTTCCTGGACCAGGGCTTGAACCCATGTCCCCTGCATTGGCAGGTGGATTCTTAACCACTGCACCACAAGGGAAGCCCCTTCCTCCCTCTTTTAAAAGGACCCTTGTGATTATATTCTTAACCACTGCACCACAAGGGAAGCCCTCCCTCCCTCTTTTAAAAGGACTCTTGTGATTATATTGGGCCCACCTGAACAATCCAGGATAATCTCCCCATCTCAAGATCCTTGACCTAATCACATGTACAATGTCCTTTTGCCATGTAAGGTAGCATATTCATAGGTTCTGAGGATTCAGACTTGAATATCTCTGGGGGCCCAGCATTCTGCCTATCAGAGAGATACTGTCTCCATTAGCTTCTATTGAGTCTGCTCCTCCCAGTCCTGCCTCCTGCCTCCTGCTGGGTAGGGGGCTTTCTTAAAACATGTCTGATCTGACTCCCCAGTCACATTTTGTTATTACAACAGTCCCATTCTGGTCCCTAAGGCGTAGTCTGGTCCATTCTAAACTTCCACTTTACATTTTATTAGAAACTCCCTTCCCGCCCCCAGGACCAGCCAGACAGGGTAGAGGAGTGTGGACTCTTCTTCCCAGCCCTCCCCTGCGTTCACTCCCTGAGGGCTGGGGAAGGGAAGAGAATGAGGGAACAGGTTCAGGTATTCCTTCACCTAATTCCCACTGCAATCCTCTTTCTGTTGGTTTTTTTTTGTTGTTGTTGTTGTTGTTGTTGTTGTTGCAGTGCGCGGGCCTCTCACTGTTGTGGCCTCTCCCATTGCAGAGCACAGGCTCCGGACGCACAGGCCCAGCGGCCATGGCTCACGGGCCCAGCCACTCCGTGGCACGTGGGATCTTCCCAGACCGGGGCACGAACCCGTGTCCCCTGTATCGGCAGGCGGACTCTCAACCACTGTGCCACCAGGGAAGCTCTTTCTGTTGGTTTTAACAACTAGTCCTGCCTGTAGTTTTAAGCTTAGTACAGACAGCCGGTGATCTCAACAGGCCCTACCAAGGAAAGGCTCAAACACTGCCCCTGGCCTGACCTTCTGGCTGACCCCTGCTGGAGGCACCACTCATTATTCTTCCCATGCGCTTCATCGTTGACCTACACTGCAGTGTTCCCGGGAAAGCCTGCAGCTGCCAACCTTACCTATGCCCTGGAGGCTGGGGCCACCAGCAGGGACCTATTTCCATACATTTTTAGGAATCAGGATCCTGAGGGAGCTGGTCAGCAAGTCTGGAGAATTTGGTAATGTTCTCAATACTGCTGTCTTCACTGGAATCCCTGTACTACTTAGTCTTCTCAGTGGACAGGAAAACATCTCAGTTGTGTTAACATCTTTAGCAGAGAGTCTGGCACAGCAGGTGCTTTACATTCCATTATGTAATTATGCAACAGCATAAATTAACAAATGAGTACTGAGCATAATACAGTAAGGGTGCCCACCATCACTGTTTCTCTTCAGCATTGTACTGAAGATCCCAGCTAATGCAATAGGACAAGAAACATGAAGTACAAAGATTGAAAAGAGAAAAGCTAATATTTGCAATCAATGTGATTGTCTACCTAGAAAATCCAAGGGACTCAACAGACTGGCACTGGATACCAACTGTATGGCAGGCCTTTTCTAGATACTTAATATGAGATGAAGGAGCACCTCTGTTCTCAGAGAGCTCCTGTTTAGGTAGTTGAGGAGGTGAGGTGAACAGTCCTTATGGCAGAGTCACCTGCAGTCCACAGAAAGAATCCAAGAGGTCCATAAACTTGGATGAGAAAAAAATTACATCTTAATTTGCATTAACCTCTAACTTAAATTTAGTACTTCCTTCAGTTATGAACGTAGGTAACAAACCACAGTTGTATTAGCAGCACCCATGATTTTGTAGTCAGTCAAAATCACAGATGTTTCCACGTTACAATATAGTATTTATAGATATCTCAAAATATAACTTACACTCACTCAAAATTACAGTAGTTATTAACTAGTTCTTATAGTTTAATGTGTTAACAAAGAATTTCATATATTACTTTATCACGATTAGAAAAATAACTGCATTTCAAGATAACTGGGGTCCTTTGTAAAATGATGCATTTTTTTTTATGCATTTGAGAGGAGGACCCATCCCATGTTACAAAAGAGATTAGAAACTCCTGCTTTTTTTTTTTTTTTTTTTTTTGTGGTATGTGGACCTCTCACTGTTGTGGCCTCTCCCGTTGTGGAGCACAGGCTCCAGACGCACAGGCTCAGCGGCCATGGCTCACGGGCCTAGCCGCTCCGCAGCATGTGGGATCCTCCTGGACCGGGGCACAAACCCGTGTCCCCTGCATCGGCAGGCGGACTCTCAACCACTGCGCCACCAGGGAAGCCCAAAACTCCTGCTTTAAATGAAGGCCGTGTTTTCTGGTTTGGGCGATGCTGACACAGTTCTCTTTCACAAGGGAGTCGCTGCTGCACCCCCCATCCTTCACATTTCTTATCAAGCAGTAAGCCCAGCTTGCTCAAGTATGTGTCAGTCATTGTCCCAGGAGCTTTCTGGGTGTCCTGCCTTTTGATATTCATGGAGCATTTTGGGAAGCTCTAAGCTTTGGGTCTAGGCTGCTTGCGCCCCTGAAGAGCCAAAACAGTGACAGTTCTGGTTTTACCCAGTAGGAAGAGAGAGGGCTATCTCTGCTGGTTTTGGTTCCTTCACAGTCGACCACTTCCCTTCCTCGGGGAAAAGCCAGGCTCTAGGAGAATGTACGAAAATGGAAAGGAGGAGAGAGAAGTCGATGTGATCTCAGCCAGGGCCGGGGGCAAGGGCTGTTTGGATTTCCCAGAGTTACATCTACTGCCTGGGTCAAGAGATTCCTTTTCCAGCAGGTATGATTCATCTATACCAGTGACAGCCACACAAGGATACCTATGTATGATAGGTGTGGGTACCTACATAAGATAATGTAGCTACAGTAAAAGGTCGTGACTATCTTTGACCCCCTTCTCTGATACTTGGCTTGAACTTCTGCTTCATAGTTCAGAATCATATGAAAGGGTAGTAAGGATATAGGAGTTGGCATCCAAGAGACTTGGGTTTAAATCCTGCCTCCATCCCTTCCCTTGCTAGCTGGGTGATCTTTCATTAATTTAGTAAATAATTTCTGAGTGTCAGCTATGTGCTAGACACAGAATACAGAGGTGAATGAGACAGGTTCCACCTCCTCTCATCAAACTTACTCCTTAGAGGAAGACACAAAGAATAATAGTGGTGGGGATAGAGATGAGGCCCCACCAAGGTAGGACAGTTGGGAAAGTCCTCTCTGTGACGTTTAAATTAATACTGAAAGCTCATATAGAGCTGACCATAAAGAGAGGGGAAAACCTTCTAAGTGGAGGGAACAGTTTGTGCAAAGGGCCTGAGGTGAGCATGAGCTTGGCCTCCTG